GATTGATGGCACTCATATTGACTTTTGAGTCGACTCAAAAGGACTTGATTGATGGCACTCATATTGACTTTTGAGTCGACTCAAAAGGACTTGATTGATGGCACTCATATTGACTTTTGAGTCGACTCAAAAGGACTTGATTGATGGCACTCATATTGACTTTTGAGTCGACTCAAAAGGACTTGATTGATGGCACTCATATTGACTTTTGAGTCGACTCAAAAGGACTTGATTGATGGCACTCATATTGACTTTTGAGTCGACTCAAAAGGAATTGATTGATGGCACTCATATTGACTTTTGAGTCGACTCAAAAGGACTCGATTGATGGCACTCATATTGACTTCTGAGTCGACTCAAAAGGACTTGATTGATGGCACTCATATTGACTTTTGAGTCGACTCAAAAGGACTTGATTGATGGCACTCATATTGACTTTTGAGTCGACTCAAAAGAACTTGATTGATGGCACTCATATTGACTTTTGAGTCGACTCAAAAGGACTTGATTGATGGCACTCATATTGACTTTTGAGTCGACTCAAAAGAACTTGATTGATGGCACTCATATTGACTTTTGAGTCGACTCAAAAGGACTTGATTGATGGCACTCATATTGACTTCTGAGTCGACTCAAAAGGACTTGATTGATGGCACTCATATTGACTTTTGAGTCGACTCAAAAGGACTTGATTGATGGCACTCATATTGACTTTTGAGTCGACTCAAAAGGACTTGATTGATGGCACTCATATTGAATTTTGAGTCGACTCAAAAGGACTTGATTGATGGCACTCATATTGACTTTTGAGTCGACTCAAAAGGACTGGATTGATGGCACTCATATTGACTTTTGAGTCGACTCAAAAGGACTTGATTGATGGCACTCATATTGTTTGTAGCAACATTATGCATACCTTCCAACGTGCTATGCTAAAAACCACCGTGCACAGCAGCAGTGTATGGAGCACACGATAGAAGTGATTGGGGAGTCTTGCAATGAATGCCACAGACATCTCAAGCCCAACCAGCTTCAACTCCCTTCCACTTGCTCACCAGCACACCACTGCAACGAAACTAAACATGTGGCCTGAGCCTGTCCACAGAGGGTGGCTGGAATGAGATTCTCAAAGCAGAATCAGTTCGGAAGGGCTTGGGCAAGGCTAGTGTAGAGGAGTGAGATTGTGAAAGTTGAGACTATAGTGGAAACTATTAGTTCTTCTGAAGCAAAGAACGTGAATCCATACAGACAGAAGGTTGGTGGAGTAGGGACGAGTGGCAAAGCAATTCACGCAGCAGAGGGGGAGAGGCGTGGGCATGCGGAGTGCATGGGCAGTGGAGGAGTGTCAGCTGTGATGCGGACATGGCGTGCAGCACCCAGTGGGCAGAGCAGCACGCAGGTGGAGCAAACCCAGTGTGCCTCTTACAGGTATTGGAGTGCCATGAGAGCAGACATGCTGTTGGGAATGGAACCGGTGAGCTGGTTATAACCAAGATCCCTGTCGGGGTTGAGTGAGTTGGGTGTGATATGAAGAGGGCATGGCAGGAAGGAAAGAAAGAAAGACAAACGTCTTGAATTGGAGTTGGTGAGGAACGAGAGGGGTGAGTTGATGGTAGGAAGACTTTTGTGGAGGATTTGATGACTCTCATTCTAGTGGTAACATTATGCATACCTTGCAACGTGCTATGCTAAAAACCACCGTGCATGGAACACACAATGAATCTGATTGGGGAGTCTCGCAATGAATGCCACATACATCTCAAGCCCAACCAGCTTCAACTCCCTTCCACTTGCTCACCAGCACACCACTGCAACGAAACTAAACATGTGGCCTGAGCCTGTCCACAGAGAATGGCTGGAACTCTTAAGGCATAATGAGTACAGTACGGCAGGGCTAGGGCAAGGGAACATAGATTGTGAAGGTTGAGATTGTGTAGTAGCAGCTGCTAACTCTTCTGAAACAGGCATGAAATAAATGATTTACAGCAGCAGGGAGGAACACGGAATGGCAAAGGGCTGCAGTCTGGAGAGGGGGGAAGACGTGGGCATGCAGAGTGCATGGGCAGTGGAGGAGTGTCAGCAGTGATGCGCACATGGCATGCATCACCCAGTGGGCAGAGCAGCACGCAAGTGGAGCAAGCCCAGTGTGCCTCTTACAGCGTTTTAAGCGCCGTGAGCGCAGAGATGCTGTCGGGAATGGAGCCCGTTAGCTTGTTACTGCTAAGATCCCTGTGTGGGGTTGAGAGAGATGGGTTTGGCGTGATGAGAAAAGAGAGCATGGCAGGAGGGAAAGGAATACACGCACACGTTTTCAATCGGAAGGTGGTGAGGAATGTTGGAGTAGGCCGAGTTCGATCTGATAATTATCATGGTATTCTCTTATCATTTTTCCATGTTGTTTCAAGTCTCTTCCACTTGCTCACAAGCATACCACTGCAACGAAACAAAACATATGATCTGAGCCTGTCCACAGAGGGTGGCTGGAACTTTCAAGGCATAATCAGTACGGCAGGGCTAGGGCAAGGTAACTGTAGAGGAACGAGATTGCCTAGGTTGAGTCTATGTAGTGGCAGTTGCAAACTCTTTCGAAGCAGCAAATGCATGAAATCAATGAAGTACAGCAAAAGGGAGGAACAAGGAGTGGCAAAGAGATGCAGGCAGCAGAGGGGGGGAGGCGTGGGCATGCAGAGTGCATGGGCAGTGGAGGAGTGTCAGCAATGACGCGCACATGGCATGCAACATCTAGTGGGCAGAGCAGCACACAGGTGGAGCAAACCCAGTGTGGATTTTACAGCTTTGTCAGTGCCGTGAGCATAAAGATGCTGTCTGGAATGGAGCCCGTGAGCTTGTTGTAGCTAAGATCCCTGTGTGGGTTTGAGAGACTTGGGCGTGATGAGATAAGAGGCTCGAATTACTGTCCACAAAGGGTGGCAAGAATCTGGAAGGTTTAATAAATTCACAAGGGCTAGAGCAAGGGAACTGTATAAGATTGCATAATAGCAACTTGCGTGTTCTGCCGGAGAAATGAACATCCGAATCCAATGAACTATCGATAGCATGTTGGAACACCAGGGATGATCGAGAAGTGGCAAAGGATGCAGACTGCAGAGGGTGGCAGGAGTGGGCGTGCAGAGTGCATGGGCAGTGGAGGAGTGTCAGCAGTGATGCGCACATGGCATGCAGCACCCAGTGGGCAGAGCAGCACGCAGGTGGAGCAAACACAGTGTGCCTCTTATAGCGTTTTAAGCGCCGTGAGCGCAGAGATGCTGTCAGAAATGGAGCCCGTGAAATTGTTATAGCTCAGATCCCTGTGTGGGGGTGAGTGAGTTGGGCGTGATTAGACAAGAGGCTCAAATCCCTGTCCGCAAAGGTTGGCTGGAACTTGGATGGCAAGGTCAGTTAACAAGGGCTAGAGCAACGCAAGTGTAGAGGACAGTGATTCAGGGTTGAGATTTTGTACTGGCAGTTGTGAGTTTTGCTGCTAAGGCATTGAGGCAAGCGGAAGGTTGGTGCAGCACAGGCGATCGAGGAGTGGCAAAGGATGATCAAGGGAACTGTATAAAATTGCGTAATAGCAACTGCGTGTTCTGCCGGAGAAATGAACATCCGAATCCAATGAACTATCGATAGCATGTTGGAACACCAGGGATGATCGAGAAGTGGCAAAGGGATGCAGGCAGCAGAGGGGGGGAGGCGTGGGCATGCAGAGTGCAGGGCAGTGGAGGAGTGCCAGCAGTGATGCGCACATGGCATGCAGCACCCAGTGGGCAGAGCAGCATGCAGGTGGAGCAAAGTCAGTGCTGTGATCACAGAGATGCTGTCGGGAATGGAGCTGTCGAGCTGCTGCGGGTGGATCCTGTCTGAAAAGGAGAGATGAGTGGATTGAGTGTATGGCAGTGTACCGTTTGTGTGCGGACGTGATGAAAAAAGTGGGCATGAGAGGAGGAAAGTGAAGCAACACACGCTTGATTTGAGTGGTGGTGAGTAACGCAAGACGAGAGGCCGTGGGGAATAGAAGAATTGGTACAGCATCAAGAGAGGAACCTGAAGCAATGCTACGCTACGAGGGAGCGAGAGGTGGGCGAGGTCGGGCTCGGAGCTGAAGGAAGCATCTGCGGCAGGCAGCAGATGGTGTGACATGGAAGAAGCGTCTTTTCGTCCAAGATACCAGCGCGAATTTGAGGGAACATTCTGCATCACAAAAATCCTGCATCCGGAAAACCAATGAAAAAAGTTGCTTTGGAGTTTTGTCGAATGATTCATGAACGACGTTTTTCGAACGCTTTTTTGAGAAAGTATAGGTTGCTTTCCAAATGCTTTCTCGAACGCTTTTCAAATGCTTCTCCAATGCTTTTCTGTTCAAACCTGCCAGGTGAACACCTTCGGAAGAAGTTTGGTACAAGTTTCCGCAGAGCAATTTCGAAGATCGGATCTCATTGCAATGTACTCTTTATGGGATTTTGGGTTCATTAAAATAAGCTTATGTAGGAGACTTGCACGACCTTATATGTAATTTAAAACTATGTTAAGTTGCCTCAATCTTGCATTCAAAATGAACAGTACAGAAGCTTTGGTAAAAGCTGATAATTCCACCCTAAAAACGCACATAAAACAGCATCCTAAACCCTCTGTGCCTAGTCAGTTAGGTTGAGCTGCATCATCCTACGACCTGCTTAGCATGCTCCAGTACACTATGTCTTCCACCGAACCCCATCTCTGGTGCTCTAGGTTGAGCGTGCCCCTGCGTCCACTGCTTCATTGCATGCTCTGCCCTCTCATGCGTCTGCTGCTCCGCCCCTGGCGCTCCCCAGTCTTGAGTTTACTGCTGCTTGCTCCAGTCATGCCTAACCTGCTGCCCCCCTTGTGCACTCCCCTCTATCTGCTCGTGCCTTTTCTGCTGCCCCCCCAACTCTCTCAACTCATGCCTTTTCTGCTGCACCCTCTTGCACTATCTGGTTGCCTTGCTGGTTCCCCACCCTTGGACACTCCTCACATTGTCTCTACTGCTGCCCCCCTTGCTGACTCCACGCTTTTGCCGCCCGTGCCACCCCCCATGCTGACTCTACTTTCTTGCCTGGCGTGCTGCCCCCCTTGCTGTCTCCACCAATGCCTCTACCTCCGTTTTGATGTCTCCTCGCAAGTGTGTGATGCCTATCCTGCTGCCCCCCCTTGTAAACTCCACTCATGCCTCATCTGCTGCCCCCCTTGTTTAGTCGCCCCATCGCTTGACCCTCTTGCCTCCCCGGCGTTTGCCACTCTTGTGTCTTTTGCCCCTCCTTCGCTCCTGGCCCCCCCCCTTCTCATCCTCATCCTCATCCTCTTCCTCCTCTTCCACTTCTTCCTCCTCTTCCTCTTCCCTCCTGCTTCCCTTGCCTCCGCCTCTTTTGTGCTTTCTGCCCTTCCTCCTCTCCTGCCCCCTATGATTTTCATCCGCCTGCTCCCCCTCCTCCTCCTCATCCTCTTCCTCTTCCCCCCTGCTTCCTCTGATTTTCCCTCTCTTCTGCCTTCTGCCCTTCCTAAGCTCCCGCCCCCCCCGTTCCACATCCTCCTCCTCCTCTTCCTCATCCTCATCCTCCTGCTCATCCCTCTTGCCTCCCCTGCTTTTGCATCTCTTGTGCCTTTTGCTCTTCCTCCGCTCCTGCCCCCACTGTTCCTCCTCCTCATCCTCCTCCTCCTCCTCCTCCTCCTCCTCCTCCTCCTCCTCCTCCTCCTCCTCCTCCTCCTCCTCCTCCTCCTGATCCTCGTCATCCTCCTCGTCATCTGTCTTCAAGTCCTCCACGTCGTACACCTCCTGCTCTTCCTCCTTCAAGTCCTTCTTCTCCTCGTCAGGCACGGCCTTCCCTTTGAACGCCTCAAATCCTGACTCGTGAACATACAGGCCACGGTCGCCCCACTTGAAGCCCTGCACGACTGTGTTGTACACGGGGGTGTGGCGTGTGAAGTGGTCCTTGATAATCCACCGCACATTTCGGTGCAAACCCGTCATCCACTCGGTGTTCTTGCGGTGGGAGTTCGAGACGTTCCAGTCGGTCTTCTTAACCTTTGCCAAGCCCTGGTCAACCTGAAAAAGCGTAGCAAAGTATGGGAAAGAGGGGAAATAGAGACATATGTGGACACTCGCGTGTGGAGTTCACGGACTGCGCAAATAGCCCCACATTCCAGTCTGGCGGGCAAGAATTGCAAGCAAAGCTAGAGCGAACTGACGGGAGAGCAATAAAGCCTTACCACCATGATTGACCAGGCAATGTGGTAGGCTTTGACGCACACCCGGCGCCCAACACAGAGATTCCGAAATGCTTCCCGGACCGCATCTACAAACCGGCCGTTGGCAAACGGGAGCCCGTCTCTGCTGTTTCCCCACGAGCTGACCCGTTGATTCCCTCCTGCACGCACGCAGGACAAGGCGGGGACGAAGATCATGCACGACATGGTTTAGGGGTTGTCCAAAGGGTATGGACGAAGTGGAGGGCGGTTTAGAATGAATGGAGGGTTGGCTGGAGGGCAGTAGAGCAGGGAAGGGCGGGAGAGAAGGGTAGGGCAGGAGAGAAGGGGAGGGCAGGGGAGAGGGGGAGGGCAGGAGAGACATGGAGGGCGGGATAGAAGGGGAGGGCTGAAGAGAAATGGAGGGAGGGAGAGAACGGGATGGCGGGAGGGAAGGGGAGAGGTGTAGATTAAAGGGGGGGCGGGAGAAGGGGACAGTGGGAGAAGAACCAACGTTAAGCTGTCATGCGGATGTGACTGCACATGCGCTACAAGGCTGGGCAAGGAGAGCAGGTATGTAGTAGCATGCCACAGTGGGGATGCATTAGGGTAAGTTGTTCATCATCGTCACGAGGGGTGCACGAGCAGATGAAATCAATGGTGAAGTAAAACAGAAACGCGCGTTCTCACTCGGTTGGTATTTTCTCCACATCTTCTTCTTCTTCTTGGTGCCCATCCAGAGATCGGCTGCACGCAGGCCTTGCACATTCTTGCCGAAAGTTACAAACACTCTGCGCTTGAGGTGGAAGCCACGATCGTTCTTCCATGACGTCCAAGCGCGTTCGAAGCCGTCGACGATGTTTTTGTCTTCCATAGCCTCTCGCAGCTGCATCAGCTTAATTATGTGCGTCTCGCTGATAACCTGATTTAAAACCTGAAGGCGCTGTTCGAGCGTTGGGTAGAAGTCTATGGCATCATCTGGCCATTCTAGGCACATCCGGTCCCGCCCCACGGCGAAATGAACCTATGACGGACGGGTGGATTGGAAACCTAAAATTGAGTGATGCCTCCGAATGAAGGGCGGAATTCAGAGGTTGAGAGAGAGGGCTGTTGCCATCACTGCGCCGCATGGCTCGCATACCAACAACAGCACCATGAACATGGGCTCTGGAAGAGGTGGGGGAGGGATGGGAGAGAGGGTGCAGGGAGAGGAAGGATAGCTGCTATGGTGAGCTATCACTCCGCCGCATGACACCCACCCCACCACCAGCACCATGAACAGGAGCTCTGGTTGAGGTAGGGGAGCGATGGTCAAGTGAGAGGGGAGAGAGAGGGGATAAAATAGTCAGAGCGAAAGACGGGAGAGTAGGCAGAGTGAGAGGGCACCGTACGCCCAGCGCGAGGGTCCATGTTCTCCTCGTACGAGGAGTCTCAACTTCCACTGCAGCCACCCCCCTGCACGCTACGCCGCATGCCACACGCGTGACCAGCAGCACCTTTTACAGTGGCTCTGGACGAGGAGGGAGAGGGACGGGATAGAGAGGGGAGGGAGGAGCGGCGGACAGAAAGGGGGCCGCGTGGGATTGACGGATACGGCTTCCTCTATTCCCTCCGCCGCATGACACCCACACCACCCCCAGCACCATGAACAGGGGCTCTCGCAGAGGGCGGGGAGGGATGGGAGAGAGAGGGGAGTGAGATGAAGGATGACTGCTATGCTTAGCTATCCTCCGCCACACGACATGTATTCCACCCCACACCCAGCACCATGAACATGGGCTCTCGCAGAGGGAGGGGAGGGATGGGAGAGAGCGGGGAGTGAGATAAAGGATGACTGCTATGCTTAGCTATCCCTCCGCCGCATGACACCCACACCACCCCCAACACCATGAACATGGGCTCTCGTAGAGGGAGGGGAGGGATGGGAGAGAGGGGGGAGGGATGGGAAGGATAACTGCTGCGATTTACGATCACTCCGCCACATGACACCCACCCCACCACCAGCACCATGAACAGGAGCTCTAGTTGAGGTAGGGGAGCGATGCACGAGTGAGAGGGGAGAGAGGGGGGATACAATAGTCAGAGCGAAAGACGGGAGAGTAGGCACATTGAGAGGGCACCGTACGCCCAGCGCGAGGGTCCATGTTCTCCTCGTACAAGGAGTCTCAACTTCCACTGCAGCCACCCCCCTGCACGCTACGCCGCATGCCACACGCGTGACCAGCAGCACCTTTTACAATGGCTCTGGACGACGAGGGAGAGGGACGGGATAGAGAGGGGAGGGAGGAGCGGCGGACAGAAAGGGGGCCGCGTGGGATTGACGGATACGGCTTCCTCTATTCCCTCCGCCGCAAGACACCCACACCACCCCCAGCACCATGAACAGGGGCTCTCGCAGAGGGCGGGGAGGGATGGGAGAGAGAGGGGAGTGAGATGAAAGATGACTGCTATGCTTAGCTATCCTCCGCCACACGACATGTATTCCACACCACACCCAGCACCATGAACATGGGCTCTTGCAGAGGGAGGGGAGGGATGGGAGAGAGCGGGGAGTGAGATAAAGGATGACTGCTATGCTTAGCTATCCCTCCGCCGCATGACACCCACACCACCCCCAGCACCATGAACATGGGCTCTCGTAGAGGGAGGGGAGGGATGGGAGAGAGGGGGGAGGGATGGGAAGGATAACTGCTGCGATTTACGATCACTCCGCCACATGACACCCACCCCACCACCAGCACCATGAACATGAGCTCTGGTTGAGGTAGGGGAGCGATGCACGAGTGAGAGGGGAGAGAGGGGGGATAAAATAGTCAGAGCGAAAGACGGGAGAGTAGGCACATTGAGAGGGCACCGTACGCCCAGCGCGAGGGTCCATGTTCTCCTCGTACGAGGAGTCTCAACTTCCACTGCAGCCACCCCCCTGCACGCTACGCCGCATGCCACACGCGTGACCAGCAGCACCTTTTACAGTGGCTCTGGACGACGAGGGAGAGGGACGGGATAGAGAGGGGAGGGAGGAGCGGCGGACAGAAAGGGGGCCGCGTGGGATTGACGGATACGGCTTCCTCTATTCCCTCCGCCGCATGACACCCACACCACCCCCAGCACCATGAACAGGGGCTCTCGCAGAGGGCGGGGAGGGATGGGAGAGAGAGGGGAGTGAGATGAAGGATGACTGCTATGCTTAGCTATCCTCCGCCACACGACATGTATTCCACACCACACCCAGCACCATGAACATGGGCTCTCGCAGAGGGAGGGGAGGGATGGGAGAGAGCGGGGAGTGAGATAAAGGATGACTGCTATGCTTAGCTATCCCTCCGCCGCATGACACCCACACCACCACCAGCACCAGGAACAGGGGCTCTGGAAGAGCTAGGCGAGGCGTGGGAGAGAGGGGGGAGGGATAGGAAGGATTACTGACACAATGAGCTATCCTTGCGCCGCGTGCCACCCACACCAGCACCAGCACCATGAACAGGGGCTCTGGTTTAGGGTGGGAAGGGATGGGAGAGAGGGGCCAATGGAGGATGGATAACTGCTATGGTGAGCTCTGGGTCGGGGGCTGAATGTGAGAGCATCGTATGCCCAGCGCCACGTCCCTGAAGCGAGGCGTACTGGGAATGCCTATCCCACTGCAGACATGCCACTATCACTGCGCATAATGCCACAAACACGCTTACCAGCAGCAAGAGGGGTTGAGAGAGAGAGCTGCAGCTATCACTGAGCCCCATGCCACACATTGTTTAACACTAAAACAATCTCACCTTCAGCAGCTTGGGTGTGGGCATCCCACGCGTTCGACGGACCGCTACGTCTACCGTCGCTGGGCTTTCTGGCGCCACGTCTGGATCGAGGCTCCCTATAGATGGGCCGCTCGACAGAGATGCTAGAGGAGGAGGCCTAGATGGAGGGGTGCAGGGCTTGACAGCTCCTTTTGATCCTGGCCTTGCCTTGAGTGCAGCGATTTCGCGATCCCGCTGGGCAAGCTCTCGCATGAGCTGCTCCACAGTCCTGCCGCCAGCCACATCCGGCCGACTGGATGCGCCAGGTGTGCCCATGCTCTCTCCCCTCCCCTCCTTAGTCGCTGGATCCATTTTCTCGTCCCCCCCTTCTCCCCTGCTCTCCCGTATATCCCACATGGAGCCTTCCACACCGCCGCCACATTCACCCAAGGCATTCGCCCACACACCTCCCAGACCGTCATTCGCTGCTGCAGCTACCGAGGGTTCGTGCCGCTTCGTTGCCCCCTCGTTCTTCACATGAACCGCGCGACCCCCCATATGGTTGGGGGGCGGGTCCGTCGCTTCTTTGCCAAACCGCGCTGACCCCCAAGCCATCTGATCTCCCTTCCCAGCCGAACCCCTCGGATCGCGTAACGCAGCGTACGGGTCCGCGGCTTGCCGTTCATGAGAGCTTGATGGACATCGTATCCCCATTGATTCGTAAAAATTCAACTCCCGCTTCGCCTTGCTACGCACACCCACTATTTTAGCTTCGAATCGAGGTCTCTGGCGCTTGCCTTGTGGTTTGGCACGACGCACACTCTGTTTACAGATCTTTACCCGTCCCCTCTCCGACTTTTGCTTAGCGTTGCCCTTTTTGAGCTTCCTCACACTCCTCCTCTGCAAAGGCCGAGCCTCCTCCCCATCCTCGCTCTCCGGCTCCAACTCCTCATCATCCTCGTCCTCCTCCTCCTCAACCTCGTCCTCGTATACCTCCTCACTCCTGGATGAGCTGCCCGACTCACTGTCGCTCGAATCTTCCTCGGAACCAGACGAGCTCAAAACGTGCACATTGGGGCCGCGTCGAGCTTGTATCGCCTTATGGTCGCAACTGCCCGGATCCACAGCCTTGCGCCGTTGGTAGGGAATCACAGCTTCACATCCACCTTTCCCATCAGTCACAGCTGCTGGCTCGTCCTCATCATGATCGTTAACGCCACAGCATGCAGGCACGGCATGATCCTTCTCGTCACCACCATCCGCATCCTGCGTCTGCCTGCCCGAGGGACCGCCCTTAGCCGCGGCAGCCCTGCCGCCGTTGCGCATGCTGCCACCACGAGCTTCCGGCTCGGCATGATCCTTATCGTCGCCACCATCCGCATCCTGTGAGCCCGAGGGACCGGCCTTGGCCGCGGCAGCCCTACCGCCGTTGCGCATGCCGCCACCACGAGCTTCCGGCTTGGCATGATCCCCCTCGTCGCCACCATCTGCATCCTCCGACTGCCTGCCCGTGGGACCGCCCTTAGCCGCGGCAGCCCTGCCGCCGTTGCGTATGCCGCCACCAGGAGCTTCCGGCTCGGCATGATCCTTCTCGTCGCCACCATCCGCATCCTGCGAGTCCGAGGGACCGCCCTTGGTCGCGGCAGCCCTGCCGCCGGTGCGTTTTCCGCCACCACGAGCTTCCGGCTCGGCATGATCCCCCTCGTCGCCTCCATCCGCATCCTGCGACTGCCTGCCCGAGGGACCGCCCTTGGCCGCGGCAGCCCTGCCGCCGTTGCGCTTTCCGCCACCACGAGCGCGTTGGCCTGCCGTCCCATCTGCGAAGGCGGACATGACAGGTACATAAGATATAAACAATATATAGGGAGTTGCAGCATGACATGCGGCGTCATTTTTATGAGTAGCGTGCAAAATATAAACCGTCGATATCACACCCACAGCGTACCTAAGCTGTCAGGTCCCCCGTCTTTGCCCTCCTCGTCGCCTTCACACGCAGGCGTTTCCTCACGATGTGAACGAGTGCCTCTTTTTCTTGGACGGTGCTTATGCCCCCCCCGGTTGTCTCGCTTGTCCGCTATCGCTGATGTGGAAACACAATTGGAGAGACGATAACCTCCAACAGGTCAGACACGACTACAAGCATCAATTCATGCATACAAGTAGAATATTCCGCATCTGCGACCATAAACACATACCTTTCTGGCCGCCTTTGGGAACGAGATCATCTAAGCGCTTCACGCGCTTATCCCTTGGTTTCGAAGGGGATGATATGCCCTTGTTTGCGTATGGCTCCACCTCGCAGTCGCTATTCGATTCGTCACCGGATGACGAGACACGTCTGGCCCCAACAACATCTCGCGACGTCGACGCATTATTTTTGCGATACTCGATTACGAGCTCGGCCGTCTTATCTGCTGTTACTAACTCGCCAAAGTTTGTTTCGTCGGGGGTTTTAGTCGATTCAGCCAGTACGATCGCCCCCTCGGGCCCCTTCATTGTCTGATTTCCTTGTTACCATGTCTAGCTTTCCATTCACGCAGTACTATGAGGTTGCGGGTTGTGCTAACGCCTAGAACCTGACAGCAGTCTACGAGCATAAGAAATTGGTTGAGGAGGGTGAGGGACGAGGCAAAGTCTGGGGCCTAGAGCAGGCGATCGTCACATCTGGAGGCATGCAAGGGGAGCACGGAGGTGATGAGGGTTTGAGTGTTTCCTGCTATGGTGCACGTTGCGACTGCCAGGTCCCCCATTTCCGCCCTCAACCAATCGCCGGAGGGTTGAGGTGTATAAAGGAAAAAAATGCAGCACTGCCGTGTTAAGATTCCGTGGGACCTAACGTGCTTAATTGAGTATCAGTCCACAAGCGGCAGGGTGGGCTTCTTTTTGTTAAACCCGACAGTCAAATGCGCTACTGTATCTGGGTTCGCGAGGGTCATAATTATTCTGCCCGGGTTGTCGTACTGTTTACAAAGAAGTGCCTCGCGTGCCACACAAACCTACACAAGCTGCACGTCAAGAGTCACATAGGGTCTGCGGAGAAACGGCGACGCTCGATCGCAGCAAGTCGTACAGCGATGCGACAGGTCGACACGAAGCCGTTGCGGCACGTCTGCGATAAAAACGCAGACTCAAAAGTTCCTTGTGTGTGGTTGCGACTGGTTCGCAAATCAGGGAGGTTCGCGTACGTGGCATAGCGTGGAGTCGAGTGGAATGGCGCAGGGCGGGGCACGTAATGGCACATTAGTTTGCAAAGCCTCAATAGTGTGGTGTACCTACATGTTAAGAGTGGAATTAGGGGGTTATGCAGTTGTAAGCAAAATCTCGTTTTCCTTACTTCGCATCCCTGCTAAACGCGTCCATCACTGTAGCACCTCAGTCAGCACCGTTACCACTCGCATCGACAATCCGCCCGCCACTTTCGCACGTCGCACCCCGACCTCACGGCCAGGGCTGACGATATCAGGGTAATTACCCTGATTTCAGGGTGATTACAGGCTTACGACTTGGTGGTCCCTGCAAACACAGGTTTTGTATTTTGTGAACTCTGGTGCTATCAGAGTAGATACTTAACGGACTCTGAATTCTTGTAACTAGGCTCAGGGTAGTGTACTTGCCGACTCTGTCCATGCAGAGTATGCGTAATACTGACAAAGGACACCACTTACGTGCTGTACATCACAGCTGGCAACCACGCCAACGCAACCAACTCAATGAGACGGTGCAGCCACGCGCACCGCACAGTGCACAGCATGTATCTGCCATTGGCCAGAATGGCCTGTAGACAGCATGCGGTGGCAGCCAAGGAGTCCTTGAATGAATTCGGCCTTGAATGCAAGGACGAATTCATCTAGGAATGTTGCCATCAAGTTCGTGGAATCGCGGCGCGGTGGTTTCGTGCTCCCGCCATCTCCAACCTCCCCTTCCCTCCCCATACCAGCAGCCAACGTTCCTTTGTTCACTAGTGTGTTATTTCCATTACGTGCCTTCATTGTCCCATTTTTCTCTCGTTCAAAGGGTTTACTAACAAACCATAATATTTGTTCTCTGCTTTACACAGTGAGGCGTTGGCTGTGAAGGACGCCGCTGAGTCAAACCCGGATCTCGACATGGTCGACAAGGTGGTGCGCACTGTGGCAACTCTGCTCGGAAACTCCAGCGTGTGGAGTCAGCGGTTCAAGTACCTGCAGCGTGTGATTTACAAGACCAACCTGGAAGTTCAAGGCATACACACGGTGCGGTGGCTGTCTCGAGGAGATGCGGTGGCCAGGCTGTGCAAGGTCCTCGGCGCTTGCATCGTTCTGCTCTGGGAGCACAATCACAAGGCGTACGAGACTGTTACCTGCTACAAGTTTCAGTTCTGCTTGTTTTTCTTGGCCGACATCTTGGCGGACATGAACGACCTCAACCGCTGCTTCCAGAGACGAGAGGTGAGGTCGCATGTTTGTATGATGTTGCTACGTGAGGTTCGTAACTGCACTGTTGCTCATCCTTCTCCCTCTTGTCTACCCCTGCTCTGCCACAGCTGGACGTGACAGAGATTGCGAAGATGATCGAGTCCACAACGAGTGACCTGGTGGAGCGCTACTTGACGCCAGAGAAAGCTTACGAGCTCGGAGGGAAGAGCTCGCTGGTGAACTTCCACAAAGTCCACAAGGAGGGTGGAGGCAAGCAGGTCCGGGTGCGCGGCGTGGACGGTGCTGGGCGCCCTATCAACCACCTGTACACCATGCATGAGCGGAAGCTGAAGGGGCACAAACACGGAAGCACCTACGCAGACTGCGTGAAGCTGTGCCGCATATTCGCCCGTGACTGCGTGGACAACCTCACCAACCGACTGGATGACCTTGGGAAGCTGGGGCCGACGAAGCTGTTCCGGGTGGGCAAGTGGCCGAAGATCAAGGCCCAGCGAGAGAAGAAGTGTAAGGAGTGGCTGAACGGGTGCAGCAAGTTGTTCCGCAACAAGCTGCCGGGATTCGACATCAAAGCAGCAGAGAGGGAGCTTCCAACCTTCAGCGCGATCATGGAGGCACACCATGAGATGGAGAGCTTCACCCAGGGCCTGTCCAACTTCCTTGGGAGCGCAGAATCCAAGAGGTAGCCTTTACTCTGCGTCCATGGGTTTTACAATCTTGTAGATTGCTAACTAATTCCGTTGTGTCGCATGTGCCTGGCAGGAGATGGCCCAACCTCATCCTGCTGTGGCAGGCGCTGGCTGTGCTCCCTCTCTCCACCGTGGAGTGCGAGAGGGGGTTCTCCAGGCAGAACGTCATCAAGTCCTGGGTGCGAGGAGCGCTGTGCAACGCGCGTCTGGGGGAGCTGATGCTGATATCGCTCCTCAAGTATGAGATCGACTGGCCGGATGCACTGGAGGTGTGGAGGTCCCTGCGTACTAGGCGCCCTGCGAAGAGCTTGAAGCTGGCTGTAGCAGAGAGGGAGAGGAAAGGGAAGCAGAAGGAGGGTGAAGATGTGGCTGCTCGAAATGCCTGGGAGAATGAGGATGAGGAGGAGGAGGAGGAGGACGATGAAGTGGAACAGGGCTTTGACGACGATCAAGAGATTGTGGGGGAGGGGGAAGTGGAGGACAGTCCATTCTTGTCGGACGATGAGGATGTGGAGGAGGTGTACTTCATAGACAAGCCCGTGCAATAGACTAGATAGAGTAGGAAACTGCATGCACTTGTCTTATTTAGGAAAATAGTGCATTGTTAATAGCAATCCTTCGCTAAGTTGTACCTTTTTCCCGATAGTGCAATCCTCGTTCGCTCACTCAATTGCACTCGTAATAGGAGTCCCCCTAACCCATTAGCATAGTGTCAAGTGTACAACATAACAGTGTAAAACCAAACACCACCTTCACAGAACATGCACATAACGATCTGCGGTGGAGCAGTCATTCTGATACATCGAATGATTAGTAAGTACGCATTATTTGATTGCTGCCTGGTCGTTATGCAACGCGTATGGGCATGTCTCCTCTCATGCCAATTGAGGTGCAATAATACGGTAATAGAGCCAGACACAAACTCCCCGTATGGGGCATGGCTGCTCTCATGCCATACAGGGCAACCTTTATGCAGGGACCCAAGACCATGCTGTGTTGTATGTTCTAGGTTCATGCTGGAACGGAGTTGAGAAACCCCTGCTGTTCTACCCACTAGAGTTGTGGCGACATGCAGGTATGTTTTGCAGCATCACACAGACCCATTGTGTATTGTTTGTATACATGTCAAGCAGGAACGCCAGTGACAAACAATTCCCTACGGGTAGTGTTCTCTAGACATGGAGGACTGGTTGTGGCCAACACTCTCATTTGGCCACACTTGTTGTCAAGTCATGCAGGACTGATTCAAGGCCTCTCCATTGCGCTTTGTGTCATGTTTGTTGGCATATCAAGCTGGCAGGACGGATGAACAAACAATTCCGTATTGATCTTGTCCACATTCCCCCATGCTACCCGCTTCCATGTTCTTCACTCACACACTTATTCCTCCCACGTACCCGCCTCACCCCCTCCTGCTTCCCGCCTCATTACCTCTGCTTCCTGCCTCATGTCCCCTCGCTTCCGGCCTCATCCCCCCTTGCTACCCACCCCATTCCCCCTTGCTTCCCACCCCATTCTTCACTGCTACCCTCCTCATTCTCCCTTGATACCCTCCCCATTTCCCCTTGCTTCAGGCCTCATTCCCCCTTGCTTCGGGCCTCATACTCACTTGCTACCTCCCTCATTCCCCCTTGCTTCACAGCCGCGTCCCCCTTGCTTCCTGCCTCATTCTCCCTTGCTACCCCCCGCATTCCCTGTGCTTCCCGCCTCTAGTCCCCTCGCTTTCGGCCTC